ATCGTACTTTGAACAATTAGAACTTATGTATTTTAACAATGTACTTGATGTAAACAATGTTGGTTGTATTATGTAATGTTGGTGATGAATGTGCTATGTTTCATGTATATTCATTGTGATGATTAATCAATTGTTAGTCACACGAGCCCCCGGACGTTTCCGCCGTCTGGTTCGGGGGTGTGACATGACATGACGGTGCCCAGAATCACGATTGTTTTGTAGTTGCATTCTCACGACGTGACCAATGAATGATCATGACGTGATATTGATTTTGGCTAAGTTGATCGTTGACCTTGTGGACTTTGACTGTTGACTTTTTGACCAGTTTGACTTTTGGTCAAACTTGGGTAGAATTGAGTATTTGACTAAGGGATGGTCTCGGTTTGGTTTTAGGAAGTTTGGGTTGGCTGTTCTGATGTTGAGGTAGTTGTTGGGCTTCTGTTGAGTAATTGAGGTGAGTATTTTCACTATACTCTTGGGTTGAAGGAACCAATGTCGGCCCACTGGATTATGTTTGTAGGATGCTAGCTGTCTTTGTGACTCTTTCATATGTGTGTATATTTTATATGGGCGGGGCCCGTTATGTTGTGGGCGGGATCCGTATTCAGTTTGGGCAGGGCCCATTATATATTATTTTGAGTGGGGCCCGTTATGATGTGGGCGGGGCCCGTATGCAGTTTGGGGGGGGGGCGTTTATATGTATGTTGTATGTGGTATTTTAGGGAACTCACTAGCTTTATGCTTACGATTTTGTGGTTTAAGCATTTTCAAGTATTTCCAGTTTTAGAAGGAAGAGTATGGCTCTGTATCCCCTGGAGATTTATTCTGCAATGATTGTTTATAATTTTACTCTGATGTTTTGAGAAAATTTTCACTCTGGTCATCTTTTGGGAAAATGAATGAATGGTTTTGACTTAATTAAAATGAAATTTTTACTCGAAAATTTTGGGACGTTTCACAAACCATTTTCCATAAATGACATTTCATGAATGCAACAATATGTGTAGTAGACAAGTAGCAAGCAATATTATTTTAGGAAAAACATGATAAACCTCAATGTAAGGTAGGGGATGTGTGTTGCCGGTAACTCAACTCAACTTCTCGCTAAAGAAACACTTCCTTCCTTTAGTGTGCTCCTTAAAGAACCTTCTTCAATTATCTCATATAAGATATAGAATAAATTACTAAAATGACCAAAATACCCCTAGGGTCATAAAAATCTCAAACTCTCAAAATGCTTATTTTTAACATATTTAGAAATTTTTGAAGTGAAATAAGGTCAAACGGATAAGCCAAACTCTGGGAATTGAAAATTATTGAATGGACACGATAGGTTTTAACGCGTCGGGTTACACGTTGCGTTCTATCATACATGTTGTGCTGATTCTAAGAACGTGTCACGTTCTTTACAACATCCTGTTTTGGGCATCCTACTTTGCATAACACATCGCGTTATGTACAATAAATTACTATTTCAAGTTTTCAGTCATATTCATCCCTTCTATATTGCATATACACTTGTGTTTTCTTATAGTAATTTTTTGTACAACCACTATGGGTTCCTAAACTTATCTAGAAGGAATTTAGACATGCTAAATCACTTGACTTAATCCATTAAGTTCGTCATAATAATTCTATAGTTTTATTAATCATCAAACTCTACTTATGGAATTAAGTGCTCAAAATGCCCATAAACTCACTAATGAACCATGTAGCCTTCCCAATCATTCTACACCACATTTTGATCATAATAGATGCATTTCAACCATTTCTGCGAGTGGAGTGCCACAATCCCATTCATCATTTTTGATCTACATAAGCCAAAGCCCATAGCACTGGCAACGTCTCCAGCATGGGTTCTAATCCCATTTCCTCCGGAAACAACCCTTGGCAACCCGATATTTCTTTCTGGTCCACCAATAACTTTTTTTCAACTAAGGTTTATTTAAGTCCGCCATCTCCGGTGGCTTCTCTTCACCTCAGTCAAAGTACCCACCAGCCTGACTCTATTGGTCATAGTTTCCTGCTGTTGCGGCCGGTGCTCGTTTGCGCGCGCGTGAACTACCACCCCCTAAAGTGGTAAAGAAGGCTCTTTGGGGTCTCTCTTTCTATCTGACAGGACCAAGAGACTCGATGTATCCTTGAATGTTCTCTTTAATGGGGGCGCTTCTTTCCTTAACCTAATTAATCAGCCCCGGGGGAGAATGATGATGGAGATGTATTTTCATTTAGTTATTTGTAAACTTAAAATCTAACTATGGAGTCACTATTCCATTTCTTTAATTTTGATTTTTCCCTTATGGCTAAATAATCCCTGGAACCACTTATAGATCAAGTGATCCTTCATGTTTTGCATCCAAATCATTCCCAATGTATTAATTCATGAACTATAATATCATTTACATAACTAGATTCGAAAAACCAAGTAGAAAATTATCATTCAACCATTGAATCCATAATTTCAATTATCTAAACTTTGATTATCTCATTCATTGAGTTTGTAAATCCATGATGGATTTATTGCAACAAAACCTCATTAATGATCATAGAATCTAACCCAAAATAGTTTAACAACTTCATCACTACACTTTGAGATTTTAGGGTTTATGGCTAGGTTTTTCCCCAAACATCAAATCCATCAAGTAAATGATAGATTTGAGCTTAGAACCTTATGGAAAACAAAACCCTAACCATCAGTTTGACCTAAAATAAAATTGGGTTTCTACCCTTTTTACAATCTCGAATTTGAAGATGATCAATGGTGACGAATTATTACTTGTAAGCCCTGGTTTCCTTCACTTCTTACTTTAATTGATTGATACTTGCTTCGATAAACCCTAGATGATGAAAGAGCATAAAATCGTCATTAGAGAGCTTCTCTCCCTTCTAAACTATTTCTATAGAGGAAAGGGTGAGTTGATGCCTCTTAATTGCCTAATTTTCAAATCTCATCCTCAAGTTACATCTTTTTGCCGAAACAACCTCATTCAACATATTTGTTTCACTAAACTTATATAGTTTCCATAATTAGTCCTTCCCCTTCCATAATATGACTTTAATGGTTCAAATACCACCTAAGTGAGTCAACACTTGGTTAAACACACTTTCACTTTTTTGTCACATTTAACCCTCCAACCGTGTTTATTATAATTTCAACATTTAACTTTTCTAAGTATCATTTAAACCATTATTACGATACCTTTTTATTATTCTCATCATTCAACTTGTTTATTTATTTGTTATTTTTAATCTATTTAAGTAAAATTTTAAATTTACTCAAAAATTCTAGCCCTAAAAAATGGGTGTTACAATTTAAAGTAACCATAAGAGAGGATGGTACAATCATGGACTGACCAATGAAGAATTTATGTAAGAACAAATGACTACATTTCAAATCATTAAGTATACAAGATGAATTTAGAGAATGCGAGTAATGATATAAAGAAACATGTTAGATTCTCGATATGTTTATCTTTGGTAATATAAACATTTGATTTAGGATAACAAACTTGATTAATAATAGCATGCAATGATCATTATGTGGTATCTTAAGTTTAACACATGATGAAATTCAAGATTTATTTAAGTTTGAAGAAGTTGACGATTTTTCGTCTTTTCGCTGTAATTCCGAAGTAGGAATCATCATAAAGGATAACACGAGTGATTTTGGACTACAAGTTTTAATCCTTCAGCGTGATTTTTCATCAAATAAATTGTATTAAACAATAATAATTGATTAGAGTCCCAAATGATTATATCTAAAGCCCCATTCTCTTAGTAAATACTGTATTTGAATAACTTGTTTCATTCTATTCAAGTAAACCAAAATGATAATAAAATGCAGTAACCAATTATATGGCATTATTCATTCATCAATCTATGATTTTCTCCATAATAACAAATAAACCATCTATTTCTAAACTATGATACTAAAGTACCAAAAATAAAAGCAAATTCAGACTAGATCACTGTTTTTATCTTAAAAGTACTCATTTTCAAGTACAAAATCACACGAACTTAATTTTCTTTTTCCAAAACAAAGGACTATATAAATAACTAAACACCACAAAGGTCATCACGATCTTGTACCCAAAGCATCAAGACTTGTACTCTCCATTACCCTACACAAAGAGGTCACCTTAAAAAGGCAACAGTCGAAATTAAAGGCATTTGAAAGACATGACAAACATTTCATCCACCTGCAGACTGTTGAAAAAAAACGAGTATCATTACCCCTTCAGAAACTTATATAAATATGCATTTAATTTCAACATTTAAAGATTTTTCAGATTCACAAGTTACCATCACCATTCAATAATCATCATCATATATATCTTCCAAATCCTGAATCCACATTAAAATTTATCCTAGACCCACAATAGTTTTTAACTAAAGATGCAAACTTAACACATTATTATTAAATCTTGAAGTTGTACAAGTAGTTATGCATATAGTACAAATAGTTAACATCGTCATTCAATAATCATCAATATCATATAATATATATCTTCCAAACTTTACACATTATTCCTGAATCCTGAAGTTGTACAAGTAATACTGCATATAGTACAGTTATTTAACATCGTCATTCATATATATCTTCCAAATTTTGAATCCACCTTAAAAATTACTCTAGACCCACAACTGTTTTTAAATAAGATGCAAACTTTATACACCATTCTTAGATCTTGAAGACGTACAACTTCTTATGCATATGGTACAATCGTGTGTTAAGATTGTCACCCAATAATCATCATCATATCTTCCAAATTCTGAACCCACATTACAAACTATTCCAGACCCACATCTGTTTTTAATTAAAGATGCAAGCTTTACACACTATTTTTGAATCTTGAAGATGTACAATTTTTTATACATATGGTACTACTTGTTAATTACCATCTTCCTTCAATAATCATCATCATATATATATTTCTTCCAAATTCTAAATCCACATTAAAAATTATTCCAGACCCACAATTTTTTTTTTTAAAATAAAGATGCAAACTTTGGACCTTTTCTTGAATCTTGAAGATGTACAACTTCTTATGCATATGATACAACTTGTTAGCATGGTCATTCAATAGTCATCATCATATATATTTCTACCAAATTCTGAATCCAAATTAATACATACTTCATACCCACAAATGTTTTCAAATAAAGATGCAAACTTTACACCTATTCTTGAATCTCGAAGACGTACAACTTCTTATGCATAGCGTACAACTTGTTAATGATGGAAATGGGAATTCCATGGTTCCTGTTAACATAGGGTAGAGTGTGAGTTTATGAAGGATATAATAGGGTACACACTTTGCGTCGCTTTTTAATTAAAGAGAAAGGATCGTACAAATTAATTCAAAAGATTCACGTGAGCTAAGCCTAATGATGCTATAGATAGATTGTACTCTACTTCTATCTACATGCAATAATGACTTGTACAATGAAAGCTGACGTCATGAAAGAAGGCTGATTGGGTAAATACCTGTTCAAATTAGGGTTTTCTTTATCAAGGTTGCCACGTGGCGAGCCACCCATACTGAACCAACCATTGTGCAGGAAAAAGCATGCGTGTGACCTTCTTTTTCTACTTCTATAATCGCATTCGGGACCTGCTTCACGACCTGAGATCACAAAGTTAACTAGAAATTGAAGTGGGACCCACAAAATGAAATATGAAATTTTCAACAGTATTTTGTATATTATTTGATTATGATTATGATTATGGAATTTGTTATTTAGAAAAGTAAAAAGTAGAACGTAATAGAAAGCTCATGTAGAAACCCAAATAAAGTTAGAGTAACAAATATTTTCTAGTTATTTTTTTAAGAAAATAAAATTATAATTTAATTAGAATCATGAAATTCTAATTAAAGATTTTGTCATTAAAATTAATAATTAAAAATGGGTTGTATTACAACATTTTGTACACGGGATGAAAAAATCAAGAAAATGGAAAGGAATCGAATTCCTTCAAAAATGGTTCATTCCATTCCATTCCATTCCATTCCTTCAGATAAAACAAACAACAATGGAATGAGTTATTCCATTTATTTTCTGATTCCATGATACCAAACACTTTCTTTAAGTATGCATGCATGGATAACATCAATATTTGACCTCATCATGCATGTGCAATGGAGCCCAATGATCATCATCACCATACAAGAATGCAATCCGATTTCTTTTTTCTCTCATGAATTCCCAATCGGGTGCCTTTATAAGCTACACAAAAAGATTTAAAGTAATTAATGAATCACAATTTATATTTCAATGCAACTCAAAATATGATATATAACGAACTTAGTAATTTTTCTTTTTTATATTGGAAAAGATTGTATTTGTATACCTCTTCGAATTCGGTCATGGTCAAATAAAGTACATTTCGCATCGTATGATACTGAAACAAAAATAATAATAATAAACATTTAATATAAGACTAGATATATATTCATTTAAGTGATTTAACAAATATATATATAATAAAGCAAGATTCTAACTTTTGGGTTGAAAAAATGAAGTCAGAAAGGACTAAATGGACCACTCTAGTAAAACAGTGTAGGCCCCATATTAATTGGCACAATAATTGAGAAATCGTATGAATAATTTTAGGTGTTTGCAGATGATGAAAGATTGATACTAAAAACCATGAAGTTGCAAAATGTGGTTGTTGCAAGAAAATTTGTGAAATAATGGTGGAAAAGTTTAGATAAGTTCAAAAAACAAGAAATAATATATAGAAAATTGTTGTGATATGTCAGTGTACTCTTTTTTTTATCAATAATAGCAATGTACTTACAGACTTTACACAAATAATAGCAAATATGTAACATGAAACTTGTTAAAATGTATTTTATTCTTTACCCAAAATAGCAATGTGCTTACATTTCTTTACTCATAATAGCAATGTGCTTATAGATTTTATAAATAATAATAATAATGTATAACCTCAAACTTGTAAAATGCTTACAAGTTTCATGTTGTATATTTGTTTATTATTTGTACAAAAATGTAAGTACATTATTGTAACAAGTAAAAAAATGTAAGCAAATTGCTATTATGGGTAAAGAATAAAATACAATTTACAAGTTTCAAGTTACATATTGTTATTATTGGTAAAAAATAAATGCCAAATAAATTATAAAAATCCATATGTTTTCATTTTCCGTGGTTAAAAAATAAATTTTATGTTAAATAAATAATTAGTTTCACCTTAAGAACACGTGTACAAAGAGCATCAAGAGCAGTTGTTGACCATGATTTTCCCAATGAGATTTTTGCAATAAATCTTGATGCCCAAATTGGTAGAAACCCGAATAATGCCACAATAGCACTTATCACATTAGATGTAAGTTGGGACCTGTAATATTTTTAATAATTTATTTTATCCCATAAAAAGAATATTGAATTAAGATTATGAAATAAAAACCGAAAATCGGTTTAATGTAATTATATTATTTGAGAAAGAAAAAAAAATCATCTCTAAAAGTTTTAAACGTTTTTTAAAAATTAGTTTTACCTTGAAATTTTCTTTATAATTGACTGTTGTTGTGACTTTGTGTCCACTGCTAAAAATGGATAAAGGGCAAAAATATATGCAACCTGTTTTATTAAACCGAAGCATTATTTTATTTTATATATATATATATATATATATATATATATATATATATATATATATATATATTTCTATTTTGGAAATAAATGAAGAAAGTAGGTTGATATTTCTTGTAATCACCTTTTCGGGAATTCTTTTATATATATCCAATGACATAAACGACCCTATAGAGTGCCCAACCTGTACAGGAGATATAAAATGAGTTTAAGCCATAAGTATCAAAGTTTTTATATTTATTTTATAGTACTTAATATAAGAAAGAATAAAACTTAATATAAGAAGCAACAAAACACACCAGTATAAGAGGGACTTCAATAGTTTGTAGTTCTTGTTGGATGAAATTTATCTGAAGTAAAAAAAAAAAAAAAAAAAAAAGAGAGAGAGATAAATCATGTCACACTATTGATTCTTTGTAATTATTAGAGAGACAAAAATATGAACACATGAACTAGAACTGAGTTTAGATTTAAATTATGAAAGAATATCATTTTTTATCTGAAAAATCGCCAAAATAATTGATCTTTATACCTTATGATCAATTTGTTCCTTTAGCCCAAACAACCTTCCATCCTCCCAATCCTAACCAAATATAAAAAATCACACAATCTATATTTATAAAAATGTGCATAAACTATAAACTATAAAGTATAAACTATAAAGTCCTCATCTATATATTTTTGTTTAACACAAAGAATCTGTTTTGTCATTTAGATTAACAGCCTTTTGATTGCCCTTGGTGTGTGCAAAATAGAGTAGTTTATCTAAACATCTTTTCTTACACAACTATTTGTGACATTTTATATTTCAACTCTTGATATCATGCAATTTCCTGCACTTGTGTAAATTGAAAAATGAAGCAAGAAACATAATTTGTGATTAACATTAAGATCTTTTTGTATTTACTTATTATTTGGAGAGTGTCTTGTCTTTTTGTATTTACTTAGGTGGTGTTTTGTTTTTAAAGAGGTAAAATGTCTTCAGTCTTTTTCCATGTCTGCAGAATAAGACGTGGACCAAAAGTCTTTTTCCATGTCTCCAGTCTTCATAAAAAAGACTGTTTGTTTTTTAAAGTCCACGGGGTGGTGGTGGTGGTATTGGTAGTGGCGGCGATGGTGGTGTTGAGAGTGGAGGAGTTGGCAGCGGCGGTGGTGGTGGAAAAAGAAATATCACATTAAGGTTAGAACTTAAAAACGTCTTCCAAAACCAAAAGTTATTTTTTTGTTCTTCCGGAAAAAGAGGTCAAAAAAACTTTTTTCTTGTTAATTGTGTTAAAGTATGATTAACTGTGACATTGGTAACAGACTTGTGAAGTATGATTAACCGATTAATACTCTAATATATATAAATTCTACATAGTATTGAGTTGACTTCTGTTGCTGCTTTCAAGTTTCGTAAATAAAGAGTTGGGAAAGGGTATTTCAGACTTTTGGTACTAAATGAGAAGGTGGAGAGAATCTCACCTCTCGAAAGTCAGAAGTATTTTCAAACATTCCTAATTATACCAGTTTTTTTATAATCTTGTGATTTTTTTTTATGGGTTTTGGGTTATTTCTTATATCTATTATATATTAGAAGAAACTAAAGTGCATGATAGCTGATTTTACAAAAGAAGAAACAAGAGAAGTCGTAAAATAAAGAGTACCCTATATAGTATACCAAACTTTGTGATTTTAGAAATAAATAAAAAAACTTGTACACATTGGATAGACTTAGAGCTCATAAAAGATAAACAATTTATAAGGGGTACCTTTTCTGAGTGTGATATATACCCAATTCCTGCTCATAAACACAAAACACACAATAAATTACAAACTTGATCTCTAAAACTTTTTTAAAATAAAATGTTATAAACTTTAGTACTTTTTAGCAACTGAAAATCATGAAAAAGGAGCAACCATTCTTACCTGTTATGGAAGCAGTTTCTCCCATTTGCTCATAAAGTGACTCCAAAAAATCAGTGTAAAATGAAACAACACCTATAACAACAACAACTTATTACTACCCAAATTAAGTAATCAGATTTCAAACTAAACATTCCCTCCATTCCAACAAGGAAAATACACTTTTTTCTGTATTGACATTGTGAAATACAAATTTGTAACAAGGTTCATATCAAATTTGATTCCAGCATTACCTGGATTTCCAGGAATAAATAGAACATGAAATCTGGGATTTGTGGCATGAATCTCCACCAATTCAGTCTTCCTACTGTTCTGCCCAAATCATGATGAAATTCGAAAGTAATCAAAAACCCCATCGAGATAATAATAGATGTATATATGAATATAGAATGAAGAAGAGAAGTGAAATCAAATACCCAGAAACATTGCACAATCTGAAATTAGAAATAGCGTGCGATTTCTGCGAAACCAGTTGTGATTTTTCGTGACCCATTTGAACAACTCTGGTGGGGGTGGATGGAATTGCAGTTCTGTAAGTCTGTAACGGCTGATTTATGAAACTAAATTGGAGAAAACATGGAGTGTTTATGTGTCAGTTTCGGATGAATCTAGATCGAGAAATTAGCTATGGTTAAATCGAGAAGCACCTGTAACGAAGTGAAGGAGTGAAAGTGAGAATCCGAACAGATGATGACAGTGTAGGCGACGACAGATGGATGAGCATGGCAGTAAAAGAACTCCGGCGGAATCACCGAAGTTCTCCACCACCCAACTGTGCTTATCTTACTTGTACTTTCAGGTACAACTTCAATGTCAATCGATAAACCAGCTCTGTTGATAAATTAGTTTATAGTATAATTGTATTTTATAAAAAATAATTTATAAAGTAGATTGCAATCATAAAATAATACAAATAGACAATTTAGATATATAACTAAAATAATAATAATAATAATAATATATAATTAAAGACGTATTTCAAATATTTATATAAAATCTCTATAAGTTTATAAAAAATAATTTATTAAAAGTCTAACTTATAAACTATTTTAATTCTGTGAAAGAGAGTATTTTGTCAATTTTTTCTGGTGACAACTTAGTGGGTGTTTGAGGGTGTTTTTTAAAATGACTTATTAGTTTATTGGTTTTTTAAAAAGTCGATAAATTAAAAAGGTGTTTGATAAATAATAACTTTATAAACAAAAAACAATTTTTCTAAAAAGCCATGAATTCCTGACTTTTTCAAAAATGTCAATAAACATTTTAAGAAACAATCTCAAATACGCCCTTAATCCATTATATTTAAATTGTGTTTTCTATTTAATATCGTGTTCTACATTATAAGCAAAAAGATAATTTTTTGTTTATTTGTTTGTTAAATTCCCTCAAATTTGAATTTAATATGTTATTTTAGATTATAATCGATCGAAAGATGATTTTGAGGATATAAGCATGTTCTTAAGTTCAATAATTAATGCAAGGACAATACTTGAAACTTTGTTTTAACAATCTCATATAGTCCTATTTGAATACCACAATTTTAACAAAAAATATGTTTACTAGTTTATAAACTTAACATTTCTTTCGACTCGTAAACACCTTGCATGACTTACGTGGAATAGTTTGATCAAAGGTGATAAAGGAAAAGATAGTGTTTATAAATCATTTTATAGATATATGCAATTAAAAATTCATAAAAAGTTATGTTTTTAACATGTTTTAATTGAACTGATGCACTCTAAATTGTGAAAAATAAGTAGTTTGCTTAAGTTGCAACTCATGTTTTTCCTATGTTTGGTTTATAATCATATAGAAACACCTATCTTTCTTAATCACTACTGATGCACTCTAAATTGTGAAAAATAAGTAGTTTGCTTAAGTTGCAACTCATGTTTTTCCTATGTTTGGTTTATAATCATATAGAAACACTTATCTTTCTTAATCACTTATGAAATCATTCATTTTATGTCGGTGATAATGGCTCTATATAATAAAATAGTAAAATAAGTAACTATTTTAGAGTGGGTCAAGTTGCTTTGACAACAAACATTTTTTTATTTATTTTTATAAATATATTCTGTTCCAACCAATATTTTTCTTTATTTAACAAAATGACCATTTTCTCTACGAACATATGTTTGTGACTTATAGTGGAAGACAAAAGGTCGTTACGTCTTAAAGTTTATTGTCACCATTCTTCTCCGTATTTTGTTCTTGTCCCACTGAACATCGAGTGAAGAACATAATCGCGATGCATGTAAGCAATAAGAATCCTTTATTTTTTAGCACTTTAACAATAAAAAACGTTTCAAAAATATATTCGAGAATGTTGGCTCAAGTTTGGCGGTACCTGCTTTGACAAAATGTGTCTTGGCGATGACACAGGTACCAAATGCAATTTAATTTCTTAGTTTTTTTAGAACGGCAAAAATTATATTAACTCAAAGCTAAAACAAAACAACAAAGATCATTACAAAGAAAGTTAAATTTGGGTTTTGAAGCCTCACAATCCAATCAAAATTATCATTAGACTTATTTGAACACCAAAAGTAGGATTGGGAGACAATGTTATCAACAATATGATCCCTCTTTGGAAGAAAATTACCAAAAATTATCTTATTTCTAAACATCCAAATATACCACCAAACAGAGCCGGCCTGAAGGGGGTTCAAAAAGTTTCATCGAATAGGGGCTGTTTGTTTAGCTCTTATTGCCTCTTAACAAAAGGCAAATCTGAATCTGTCCAATTAAGAGCGTTTGTTTAAATCTTATTTTGACATCTGAACCTTAATTTTGTCACTTATTCGGTCATTGAGATGGATCTGAATAAAAAAAAGTACGCGTGTGCCCTTCCTCAATATTTCATCCGCTTCTTTTTTCCCCTTTCTAGTTTCTACTCCATCGATCATCATTCCTTCTCCTACCTCTCGATCTCTTCTGCAACAAGCGGCTCCACTGGTTCGCCGACAGCCTCCGCCACAGACGAAGCCACCGACAGCCTCCGCCATAGACGAGCCGCCGACAACTTCCTCTTGCCTCCGCCAACGACTCCGACTTATGTTGTAGGTACATCGACTCTTCTTTTTTTCCCATGAAAATCGATAGGTTGCTCCGAGCGTGCTCCGAGGTTGTTGTTACGTTGCTTAAAGCCCTAGAGGTTGTTGTTGATTAAAAACCCTATGGGATATTAGAACCCAAGAACATCGGTTATGGTTTTGGACCTTTTGGTGGGTATAAAAATAATTAAATTCCATGAATGTTTATGTTTAGTTTACCAAAATTTTCTGTTTATCCATGTTGAACATGGATGGCAATTGATTGTCGATTATTGAGGCTTCTGTTTTCGAGCAAAGAAAGTGTTCATGGAGCATCTTCGTTGTGCTTAGATAAAAACTTGTTGAATGTGCATCTTTAGCTAAAAACTTGTTGAATGTGGTGTTGAAGAACCAAGTAATTTTCATGAATGGTTTGAGATAATTTGCAAACTATTTTCAAGAATGGTTTAAGATAATTTGCATGTTTGGTTTAGTTATTTTATATATAAAAACATTGAGTTTAGCAAAAAACAACATATAAGGGTAAAATTGTCATTTTTATCATTCAACACTGCAATTCAAATGATCTAACCAAACAACATTTAAAATTCAGATCTTAAAAATTCAGACCCTCTTAAAAATTCAGACCCTAAAAATTCAGATGCCGCCAAACAGCCCCTAGGGCCCACTCTCTGATAAGGGCCCAAAACGTTTTCTACTGATAATATTACCCTAGGTTAGCTTTTACGTTATTGATTGTTTCGTTATTCATTCTTACGTTTGCAGCAAAAGAACAGACGTATGCAACAAATTGAGCGGGAAATTGAGTTGAAGTTTTTCCGAATATTGGCTTCTCGATGTCAGATCATACACGTGAAGAGTGAAGACGTTTGGTTTCTCTTGGTAACATTAATATGCTTTCTCAATGTCTGCCCTTGTATTATCTTCCAACTTCAAACCTTACCTTCAGAATCCTCAAGCAATTCATCATCTCTAATAAATGAATGTTTTTTTGCCACTTGTCACACTCTCATTTAATTTGCCAAATGTCATTTTGTGGTTATTTTGAATTTTTTTTTTCCACATGTCATTTTATGAGTTTTTATATTTTATTAAATTTTACATAATATTTTAATGTAATAATTACAATAAATGTAGAAATAAATTGATATTAATTTCACTAATAAACTTACCTTTTAATTTCAAAATTCCAAAAATTAAAGCTAATTAGTTTTTTTCTTTATTTAAATTATTTGTTTAAATTTAAAAGATAAAAAACATTTCCATTATAATAAATCATTATTTTTTTATTTTTTATAAATTCCAAGTTTTCAAATATTTTGACATTTATATTTAACATTTTTTGTTTTTAAATTAATCCATGTAATACATGGATCTCACAACTAGTTAAGACATTAAATCTCAGCCAAAAAAAGATAAGACAATATGTTCTACTGTTACTATTTCCTTCCTTATTTTCCTCAAGATATTCTAATTTCCTGATTTTCCTCAAACAATTGGAGCTTCGAGGTTCTTGCCAGCATCAAGTTGGATTTCATTCTTAATTCTTTAACTCTTGAATGTTTTCTTCTTATAATTTTACTTTTTTTTTCTCTTGATTTTGTTGCTCAAGGTAAAATATTTTATTTTTTTCGGTTTGTGTTCCACTGTTCTTGTTACAATGTTGCTCAAGAGATTCCTTTGTGTTCGTTTTCAGATTCTTTTTGTTCTTGATTGTTGCTCTTGAGATTTTTAGAGGTAAAACATTAAATCTTATATAAATTTCAGATTTTTATATTTGTGAGTTTTACATTTTCAGATTCATTTACATTTCACCGATTTCAGACTTTATATTTCTTTCATTCTTATTCTGAATTTTACATTTCAGTTTATCCGATTTTGGCGTGGTTGATCAAGAGTAAGAAATTTACAAATAACAAAGGAAAAACAAATTTACAGACTATAGTTGTTTATATCCTTTTTATAAAATGCCTCTTGGAATTAAAAAAAATGAAGGTGGACATGAAAAATGTAATAATTTTATGTATATTACAAGATGAAGTGAAAAACTAGAGTTTTATGTATATCTGAATGAAACTTTGTTCTTGAAGTAAATTACCAAATGAAATGAAAAACTAGATTTTATGTTTTATATTTTATAATTTATAAGTTTTAGGGCTTACTTTTACTAAGTTGCACAGGGCCTTCGAAATCTCAGGGCCGACCCTACCACCAAGAGACATAAAACACTCCTTCAAAAACATCTTTCGCCTTTTACACTTATGAACAGAGGCAACATGGGCATGTGCACAGGGCCCATTTCTTTTCAGGGCCCAATTTTTTGTATACTACATTTATGAATCAGGCCCAAATGCAAAGGAAAGGATAGTCCAGACTCTGATCGATCACTAGTCCACAACCGAAGGGAAGGCAGTCAGCAGAAGTCGAGAACGAGAAGCGATCATCCAGTGAGCAACGAGGGTCGATTAATCAATCGATTACTAGTCGTCTTCCATCCACTCCCGAGTCCTGCTGACCAGGTAATCGATTATTTTAGTATTTATGTTATCATAATTCAGAAATTGAATGTATTTATGTGATCAAAATTCAGAAATTGGAAGAATAAGATTATCATAAATTTCACTAATCAGATTATAGATTATAACCGAATACTTGAATATATTTATGTGATCAGATTAATATTTTTCTTTTATGTATTTATGTTATCTGAATTTCCACCGATCATATTATAGATTATTAAATTATTTTTATTGTTTA